GTACACCCAGGTGTGCTCCAGGTACACCCAGCTGTGCTCCAGGTACACCCAGCTGTGCTCCAGGTACACCCAGGTGTGTCCAGGTATGACCAGGTGTGCTCCAGGTACACCCAGATGTGTCCAGGGCAGCTCCAGGTACACCCAGGTACACCCAGCTGTGTCCAGGTGTGCTCCAGGTACACCCAGCTGTGAACAGGTGTGCTCCAGGTACACCCAGGTGTGTCCACATGTGTCCAGGGCAGCTCTAGGTGTGCTCCAGGTACACCCAGGTGTGCCCAGGTGTGCCCAGGTGTCCCCGGGCCGGGCTCAGCCCAGCTCCTCCCGCGTTTTCCCGGTTTTTTTTGGCATCTTGCGGCCGCTGCCGTCCTCGAGCTCCTTGGCCTGGTAATAGTGAGGGGCCACCTCCAGCAGCCAGGAACTGTCGATCTCCATCACCTGCGGACACGGACACACCTGCTGGGACACCTGGGGACACCCCCGGGGACAGGGACACACCTGGGGACAGGGACACACCTGGGGACACACCTGGGGACACACCTGGGGACACCCCCGGGGACAGGGACACACCTGGGGGCACACCTGGGGACAGGGACACACCTGGGGACACACCTGGGGACACCTGGGGACACACCTGGGGACACCTGGGGACACCCCCGGGGACAGGGACACACCTGGGGGCACACCTGGGGACACCCCCGGGGACAGGGACACACCTGGGGACACCCCCGGGGACAGGGACACACCTGGGGGCACACCTGGGGACACCCCTGGGGACACCTCCGGGGACAGGGACACACCTGGGGACAGGGACACACCTGCTGACACACCTGGGGACACCCCTGGGGACAGGGACACACCTGGGGACACCTGTGGGGATCCCTTTGTCACCGTGGTCCCCGTGTGCTCACAGGGAGGTGCAGGGTGTCCCTGCCCCGTGTGTCCAGGTGTATCCCAGGTGTATCCAGGTGTCCCCAGGTGTGCCCAGGTGTGCCCAGGAGTCCCCAGGTGTATCCAGGTGTATCCAGGTGTGTCCCAGGTGTATCCAGGTGCCCCCAGGTGTATCCAGGTGTGCCCAGGTGTACCCCAGGTGTGCCCAGGTGTACCCCAGGTGTATCCACGTGTATCCAGGTGTATCCAGGTGTACCCCAGGTGTACCCAGGTGTGCCCAGGAGTCCCCAGATGTGTCCAGGTGTCCCCAGGTGTATCCAGGTGTACCCCAGGTGTGTCCAGGTGTACCCCAGGTATATCCCAGGTGTTCCCAGGTGTCCCCAGGTGTGCCCAGGTGTTCCCAGCTGTCCCCAGGTGTGCCCAGGTGTGCCCCAGGTGTATCTCAGGTACCCTCACCTGTCTCATGAACTCCTTGGAGGTGCACACCAGCTCGTGGTACAGCACCCAGCGGGGCTGCAGCGAGAACAGGGCGCTGTTGGGGTGGATGAACACCGGCTGTTGGTGTTTCACCGTGCGGTACCCGCCCCGCGCCAAACGCGCCGTGTGGTAAAAGAACCCGGCTGTGATGGCCTGGGGGGACAGGAAACGGGGGGACACCGTCGCTGGGGGGACAGGAAACGGGGGGACACCGTCACTGGGGGGACAGGAAACGGGGGGACACCGTCACTGGGGGGG